TATATATATATCCCAAGCAGTACCGGAAAGAGAGATACAACTACTGGACTTGAGAAATCTATTATTCTGAAAAATCGTTTTAAGAGAAAGATTTTATAAATTTCAACCGGCAACAGTACTGTCTGGTCGGTCAATGGATGCTGAATATTCCCTTATAAGGAAACGGTTAATATTAAGATTACCATTAACCCTTGGATTGAACTCACAATGACTATGCCATCAAATTCCTGAATCAACGCTTTAATCGCTTCAGTTTCAAAACTATTTTTATGATATTGAGAAATGCTTCGTGTTTGGGGTGAATATTATCTTTCCTCAACATACTGGCTAACTAATGATTGCAGAGTCCACACGTCAGTCGGGTGGCTTCTCATACCCCAGCTGAGTGATTATTCATTTCTCTTGGATATATTTAGATAATTCTCGGCGATGAAAAATGTTTTTGCAGTCCTAATCGGAAGCCTGTATTTTTTGTCATTGTTTTTTGTCTTTATTGAACTATCATATTAAAACTGTCGGAACATATTTTTTTTCGTCTCTAAAATAAAATTAAGATTTTAAACTAAGACTTTTTTTTAGGACTGAGACGTAATTAGCCAGAACACGTAACGGTTCATAGATTTTTTAGTTACCTGAGGGTAGGACTGTTTTGTTTCCATTTTTGTTAGCTGTGGGAGTGAATGTTGGTTATTGTTACGTAAAGACAGGATGATTTTAATTTTATTTATTGTTACTTGGAGGTAGGATTTTTTTATTTTATTTTTGTTTATTCTTTTTCTTATTTGAAGGTAGGAATGTTTATTGCTACCAAAATGTAGGACTGTGTTTTTATTTTTAGATTTAAAAAAAAATGTATGTATTTTTGAATCTTAAGTTTAGAACTATTTAAAAAAAATCTTTTGTTACTCTTTTCTTCTTTTTTGGTACCTTGTTTTTTTAAAAATTTTTGTTAGAGTAGGACTGATTTTATCTGTTTTATTTTTTATTTTATCATAGCCAAGGGTATGACTGTATTATTGTTCTGTTTTTAAGAAAGCAAAACAAACTGTTCAAATGCATCAAGACAAAGAACTGGTAAAAGCCGTGAAGTCCTTTTTTAGAACATGAAAAAATAAATGACAAGGAAGGAAAAAGAAAATATAACCCCGACAGTATATCGAAGCGATTACCTTATTGATCATCCATGGGTATTGGTCATTTTGGACGACCGGGAGGGACTTGAAGGTGACATCAACACCAAATATAGATACAATTTTATTTTCGATGGGCCTCAATTCGACTAGATCGTCTAACAAGCCAAGCTCTTGATCAAGAAACAGAACCGACTGATCAAGAAAGAAAACTGATTGACAAGATGAACGAAACTTTTCCTTTTAATACTTGGAAAACTACCTCTACCTTTTTTAATTTGAAAGAATTTGTGCGACAGATCGCGGTTGCGCCGGCTCTGTTAAAGAGCATAGCTTGTTAGACGGTCTGATCGAATTGAGGCCCACCGAAAAGAAAAGTGTATCTGTATTCGGTGTTGATGTCGCCTTCAAGTCCCTCCTGGTTGTTCAAAATGTCCAATACCCACGACTGATCAATAAGGTGATCGCTTCGATCTAGGCCTTGCCTTATCTCACGTTGTGATTATGTTTTGATCATAAGTCCGCCCAGGATCAAATCATCGTCAAGTATCTTTGTATTGGGCTGCTCCAAGTGGAATGAAGACCCAAGACAAAGTAAACACTTGAATAAAAATAACATGTTTATATGTTCCTGTGTACAATAGTTGCTTAGTTTGTGGTCAAAATCTAGCAGTTCACATGCAGACGTTTATCAACATAACTCGCTTCTTAGGCTAGACGTGACACTTTTCTGGCTTGGCGAAGTTTGGCACAAGGCTGATGTCGGAGGTTCTCTTCGAGCTGGCAGTCACGTTGGATATTTCTCGTCTGCTGTCTGGAACAATCTCAGTCGCTTCGACTCCTTTGTATTTATTGACATACACCTAAAACCGGTATGGGAGCATGACGCGGTTGGGAATTCAGTATTTCCCCAAATTCCAACAAAAGCCCCTTTCTGCTGTGTGGGTTCTGAAAATTAATTACTTCCCAATTTGTGGGATCCCATTTTTCCATGGGTGGCGGTCGCAGGTATTGATCCGCCTCACAACTTCTTCCTTCTCTTATTAGCATCTCCCACTAACACCCCCCTCCAATGGGTGTGGGTAAATCCTCCACTTCCCTCAGTGTCTTATCTGCGCCCACCACCACGGGTACTTCGACCAATGGTTCTTGACCGCTTGGCGTGGCCTAATTTTAAGGTCGTTAATCCAAAGAATTATTATTTCAATCCTTTCACCGATGCAAAGAAAAAAAGATTCCATATAAATTATGTTTTTGTCTAAAATTAGACATAAACCACATTGCTCCTTTCACAATGAATTTCATTCCCGAATTTTTATTATAGATCAATCTTTACCTATTTACATTTTTTTTTCTGGTGACCAGTACTT